TGACCGTGACCGGCAGCGTAACTTACAAAACATGCGTACCTCAAGCAGTTCTGTTGGCAGATGAGAGCATTTTTCAAACCTATGTGTATACAAGAAGCAGTGATATTGCTCACATTATGCCAACGCTGCTTTAAAAATAGTCGATGCGAGACACAAAACTATATAATAATCATTCTAAGTTAATGTGTGTGTATCACATACCGTTACGGTAGGGCGTTAGGTCAATGGTGTTTTTTTCAAAGCGGGATTAAATTGATAGCATTGGCGGATTTAGATGGGGGCCGAGGGGGCCGAGGGGGCCGCAACCCCCCTATTTTTAACAACCAACAGGGCTTCGCGCCATCGGCGCTCGCGAACTTGGCCTTAGGCCAACCTACCCCCCCCCCCATTCCAGAATCCTAGATCCGCCCCTGGATAGACATTCAATACATAAGTAAAGTACAGTATTATTTTGCAAAATGTGACTGTAGATCAATTATTTTACTTAATACTTTGTCGGTTGATATGAACATTTACCATCGATGTTGGTATTTCATCGCGGTCTTATCTGAGTTAACATCCCAAGCGGAATGCTGCTGAAATTATATCATTATTTACATTGTGTGTACTTGTTGCTACATACGGGAAACGCGATAAAACATGATATATCTTTGATCGTGTCGGGCTGACTTCTATGTCAAACCCCGCGACACTGTTTTCTTATACCAACGCTGTAAAATTAAAGTAAATATAACTTACCAGGCTGCTCGTTTATGCTTTCAATACCACCATCACATATAACATAAAGTTCATTGCAGACTGAGCTTTTCTTGAAACTCCATTACATTATTTTAAAAATGTTTTCCCGTATCTCATTGGCTACTTTAACGGCAAAGTCAAACATATCCTGCTCTGAAGATAATAAAACACAGTGCAGTAAAGTTAAAATAATAAAAACAAATTCAGTTCAATGTATACGATGTATAGATATATAACACATACATTAAATGATTACCTTAATACTTGTTCTTGGGCGGCAGTAAGATAACTTCTGTATACGAAGAGAGTTCATGGGAAAATAAGACAGTTGGCGAGATTCTCAGCTGTGATCATTAATTTTATTGGTTGACAGTGCTGTCAATGTAGGCGATTGTGGCTGCCCTTGAAATTGTATCCGTCTATACTTGAGAGCTAAGTTTGTGTTGATTATAGTGCCATGTGTTTATTCGGGAAACGCTTCCTAGATAAATCGTCCACTCAGTATCGACGCTTTAGATCAGTTTAAATGAGCGCGAGACTAATTCAAACTTAGCTTAAAATGTAGATGGCAATGTTTCATACAAAATTTGCCATTACGTATATTACTGTATACAAATAATTGAAACATGGGTGTAATAATGTTCTTTTTAACAGACGATTAAATTGGAAATTTTTAAAAATGAGGCAGGGTGGCATCATATCAATTAATATATCCGGGCTAAAAAATAATTATTTTTTTTAAAAGTAATTTTTGTTGTTAATGTCAAATGTCTGTATTTGTGCAATTATTTTATTGTTCTCCGGCCTATAATTGGGTTGTTTTGCCTGTCAGCTGCAATTTAATAAAATTATTTAATTTGTTTTTCATTTATTCATGTGCAATTGTTTATTTGAAAAAGATAACTAAACATTGTAAAAAACGCTATATTTAATATGATATGGTGAAATTAAATACTAAGTATCACATCTATAAGGGAATATGAACATCAAATTAGCACATGACATTCAACTCGTTAGCTCTGGCTACATTGTAACATTGCAATGTAGAAGGCGTTTGTTGAACACCCGAATCACACACTTAGCACTTGTTTGACCTATGTATGCAGGTTCATATTACAAATATCACATTACAGCGATTGGCCGTTGACTACTAATTGCCATCTTGAGCGGCAATTTTGAAACCGTTATATACCAAGTAGAAATCAGCACACTCTAAATACATGTTGTGTCTAGATGAGCGATGATTCATCCAGTTTTTCCGATTGTTGAACACCAGCGTTGATACACAAGATAATTATTCTAGTGATGACCATTCATATTAACCCTACGATGATAGTGTATATTATGAATCGCCCAATACAAGCAAAGTTCACTTTATCGACTTGTTTTCCGATGGTAACGACGAACGTATGGATATCACATCATATAATGGTCGAGATACCACTGGTATGCACAATGAAACAAGTTCACTTGCAAACGTGGAATATGACAGTTGCACAAACTCTACACCAGCTTATGAAAGCTTTATAGACGCACAGTTGGACACCCTCGACAGCAATGCTAACCATAGAGACATCTCGCATCGGCAAACAAACTAACTGGAACTTGCGAAATGGGTAAGTATTCGTCACAAACATATATTATGTTCTTCGATCATATCGTAGCGTTGTGACAGTGTTAGTTTGAAAACACGTAGATATATCCGATTTACACCATTTTGTAGTGAAGTTGCCAATTTATAAACACAGTAGCACAGTGACTGTGACACGTCTGATTTAAATCGTAGCGTTGTGGCCGCAATAGTTCAAAAAAGATATTCAATAAATTCGTAATAATAATATTCGTTGTGAAAATATACCAATGTAAACGAGCGAGATTAGTGAACTATCTCTCTAAAGCACTCCGAGGACCCAAATCAATGGTGGTATTCATATTGACGGGACGGTGTTATTGCTCGAAGGAAATAGGGCAATATAAAGAGTCATCTGAACTACAAACTTGACTCAGTGCGATTAAATATTATTGAAAGTATATATGACAAGGAACAAAAACAAAATTCGCTGGTAAATATAGTTAATAGTATTACGTTTCGGATTATTATTTAGTCACAATACCATTTTGACTTAATTTTATGCACTGTGTTAATGTCAGTAAAATCATTTTCGCTCATTTTAGATTGTAACTAAACAATGGAGGCATCGAGTTAGAATAGCAGTGACCGTGAAGCCACAGTCGTCAACCGAACTTGGCAAGATCAACTTTCCAGTAATGGATGTATTGACCCAGCAGTATGAGGTCAAAGTATGAGGCATAAGCAAGTCATTATTCAGTTCAAATGAAGATTTATAACCAACCTGCACAGAGTGTGTGGCATCGTTTCGGAAGCCTGACAAAGTCACCATCAGCCGTTAAAACATACTCTTAACAACACCTTACTAACAATATTTGTTCGTTGATATATATTGTATCTATTTGTTCGTTTATATATTTATTAACTACAGCCTTCGTAGTTACTCTGTCTGGACGTGCGCGCGCGTGCGTGCGTGCGTGCGTGTGTGCGTGTGCGTGTGTGTGTGTGTGTGTGTGTGTGTGTGTGTGTGTGTGTGTGTGTGTGTGTGTGTTGGGGTGTGTTGGGGTGGGCGTGTATGTCATTTAGTATTATGATGTCAGCCTAACACACTTTCATCAAGCGTGTCTGAAAACATTTTCAGGTGTAAAATGATTTACATACTGTTTTTGTTACACTCATTCAATAGTTCCAACTGCACAGGTATTACACACCAATTTATTTTAAAGTGTTATGAGTATTTGTTTGAATAAAGTTTATTTTTCGTCAGATCATTTGTCACCAGACGAAATAAAACATAAGGATACCGGTCAAATGCAGTGCTAATATAATAAACAGTGATTAAGACTTATTTTCTTTTAATATGTTTCATTTCAACACTTAACTAAATGTTTCACTCAGGTTAATTAAAAATGTAAAATTACATGGCGAAAGAGCTTGCAAATTTATTTAATATGTAGGTGAATAT